CTCTGCCATAACAATAGTTAACACAGATGTGCCCTACAGGGATAGGAAAGGCCTCATAAATATTAATCAAGTATACAAGACACGATAAACAGTAAGTGTCTGCTATTGCCAGGCATTGCAGTAAGCACTGAGGACACAAAGAAAAGGTCTTGCCCTCAGCGAGCTCCCAATTTAAAAGGAGAAGACATAGAAACACATAAAAGAAGCTGCTAAGCTAGGGGGTGGGGTGGAGATGGAGGGTATCTGGCACTGGGGCAGGATGAAGTCCTACAGCCAGGTGGGAAATGCTAAGGTGTCTGCCATCTGTCTCCTCCTTAAATGGAAGATTTTGGAAGAGTACTCCAGTGTCTGCCCTCTTGAACCAAAGGGAGGGAGGAGCCCCAGGGGCAGGGGATACTAAGGAGGTAGGTGTCAGAGTTCAAAGCATCTGATCACTGACCTGCTTTCTCTTGGTATTGGACCTGCTGGGCCAGGGCCACTAGTAACCTACAAATGTGGCAATAGATAAATCAGATGTAACAACTTAACACGTATGGGACAGATTCCTCTTCCTGTAGGTGAAGATGCCCAGAAGAGCTTGAAGACTGCAATGATGATTGATTGATTGATGATGTTCTGTCCTCTTCACCAGAGTCCTCTATAACTATCTCACCAACCACCTGGCAGCCCACATCAGAGAACATAACCTAGAGGAACTTCCATCCTGGGGCCCCTGACTCCCCCAGAACACTGTTGTAGGAAAGGCCTGATTCCTAAAACTGCATTCCCTCCTCTTTGGCTTCCCCAGGCTCCTCAACCACAGTCTTCATGCATTTGCTTTCTCCCCACCCCCCATAGGTCTAGGCCCATGAACCATGATCACATCAACTCTGCCATTGACCTTGGATTGGGTTTTTCCATCTAGTACCCTACATTTCCTCTACATTGCTGTAACTTTCCAATGGGAGTGGCCATCTGTAAGCTCCTTGAAAGCAGTGACGATTTTTGCTTTGTATTTTCATCCCTAGTACCTAGCACAGTACTGGGCACAGAATAAAAGCTTAATAAAAGCCTTTTCATACGTTCATACTGAGGACTTTTCTCACAACAACTTTGTGAAGTGGGTAATTACAAGCATCCTCAGCTGACAGATGAGTAAGATGAGGCTCAGAAAGGTTAAGTGATTTGGCCATAGTAACAGAGGTTGTTAATATTAAAGCCAAGATTCAAACTGAGTTTTTCTGACCCCCACCCCAAAACTCTTTTTTTCCAATACCCCTAGATATCCCAGACTGCCAGTGCCATGCCCCAGTCATGAAAGTATCACTTGATTTCTCTTCCTCCCAGGACGCATGATTCCTCTGGTCTAAAGCTCAACCCCACCACTGTACACTGCTCCCACACCAATTACATTTACTAGACATACACAGCCCTTGCCTGAAATTGGGCTGAAACACCATTGCTGGCCCAGTGCAGTGACCGCAACAGCTCCCTTCTGGCTTCAGGTACTAGGCAACAGGGTTTCCCTCAGCCCCTTTAACTGTCCAGGAAATTTTCTGGTTTCACTTTAAAAAGGTCATCTGTCCTTGATCCAAAACAACAGTTTTGAAAAGCAAGAGGGAAGAGTACTATCCTTGATTAGAAAATGCAGCTCACATCCTATGGAAGTATACCCATTTATTGGGAAAGGAAACAAAGGGCTGGTCTCCCCTGTATTCTGGTTTGCAAAGTACAATAGATTGATAGAAAAAGCACATTTGCTCCTCTGAATTCCGGGAAGGTCTCCAAGACAGGACTAACAATGAAAAGGAATATCTCACAAACAATCAAACCCGTAACTCACAGCACTTCAAAGAACTATAGCTTCTTATTAAACTCCCTCTGCCCTCTTCTCAAATCTCCCTTATCTCTTTCTTCCCTCCCGTTTTTCATCTTCACATGCTCCTTCCCTTCATCAACTCATTTTTTTTTTCAAATGCATTCTGCTCAGGACTCTTGCCTTCAAGAATGAGCGACCATATCTACTGACAAGTATCTCAGCCCATAACTCTCTCTTGATAGTTGCTAGCTGGCCCTGTCTCCAGCCTGCTATGTGCTTTAAAAAAAATTGTTGAAGAAACCACCAGTGAGCCCTGGTATGAATTTCTTTAGTTCTTCTGATGGATATGACAATGTATTGTTTCACTTGTTGAGGAAATAGTAAAATGTCATCTAAGAGAGGAGAAACTGAAGTAAGTTGGAGCTTTTGCCAAGGAAAAAATCATAACTGGAAACCATAGGGTGATAAGCTTCAGAACTGGAAGGCTTAGATGCCATTTAGACCAATCCTCTTTATTGGATTGATGAGGAAACCAAGGGTTATAGAAGTGAAGAAACTTGCCCTTGGTCAAGCAGGGAGTAACAGAGCTGAGATTTGAACCCAGGTCCTCCCAACTACAAATCCAAGGTCCCTTCTACACGACCATGCTGCCTCCCTTCAGTCATTACAGTTTCCATTTGGAATGACTTAGACCCCGAATGTTGAGCAGGAGTACCAATACTGAATGGGAGGGAAATGAAGGAGTTTGGTCAAACAAATTCTTCCATCTCTTCCAGCTCTAAATCTGTCACGCCATTATGATTGTGTAGTTCATATTTCTATAGTAATATGCTACAATACATAAAGCAAGTTTCCTCCCAACAATCCTGTGAAGGAAATGGTACGAACATTGTTAGCCCCATTTTACAGAAGGTGAAACTGAGAAACTCAGAGGACTTGCCCGTGATCACATGACTAGTGAGTGTCAGAACTTGCAATTGATCAAATTGAAATTGATTAAAGTCTTCTGGCTTTAAGAGTAACTGGTAATTCCCATGCTGTAGGAACTCAGCTGTCACCTGAGCAGAAATCACTGGCAACTCTAATCTTTGCTCAGGTATTAAATTCTTCTCAAACTAGCCCAGAGTATTCCATATGATTATCATTGTGTCCACTTTAGGGAGGTCAGGCTTTAAAGGAATAGCAGTTCCACTCTGGGATCTCAGCATCTTGTCCGTGGGATTTGTGTTACAGAATTGCATATGAGAGGGTGGATCAGACAAAGAGTGAACCAACATATCAGTTTTTAGCTGAGTATCCTGAAGGCCATCCTTCAGCATGCCTCGGATCCATCTGTGGCCTGGGACTGCTCCACTCCTTGATTGGAGCTGACAGATTTGTAATGAAAAGTCTCACTGAGGTTTCATGATTTGCATTTGACCTCATCAAAACTTTTCTCCTTCCTTGCTGCTGTTTTCTTTCACTCTTGTATCTTCTTTAGGGTAGATAGTTGCTCTAAAATATAATTATGGACCAGTCATGGAGACCTAATATCCCACAGTAACCCACTGATTATAATGATTTGGTGGGTAGAGTGCGTCTGGCTCTGGGGAATAATTCACATCAGACCTTTGGGTCCAATCATCATTGCCATCTACTTGGGAGAGCAAAAACCAGGGATAAGAATGTTTAGGTTTCCATTGTACTTTGATATTTACAAGTAACCCAATGAAGCAGGAAGTAAAAAAATTCTAAGTCCCCATTTTTCACATGAATAAACAGGCACAGAGGGCCTCAAAGTAACTCACCTGTGGTTACATAGCTAGGAAATGATAGAGCTCAGTCAGGAATATGGAGCTTTCACTTTCAGTCTCATGCTTTTCCCATCAAACTATGGTTCATTGATCCAGCTCTATCCATGTTGGGAGACTACTTGGTATGTATTTTCTTCTTCCTTTTTTCCTGATGAAACACCATAAGATTAGATAGGTCAATGTCCTAGGCATCAGAAAGACATGGTTTCAACTCCTATCTCAGACATTACTTATATGACCCTAGGGAAGTCACTTTTCCTCTCTATGCCTTAGTTTACTCATCTGTAAAATGAAGGGGTTGGATTATGGTTTTGATGGCCCTAAATCTATTATCCCTCCACCCAATGTTTGAGATTTGTAGCACTGAATACTAAATGTTAATGTGTTCAAATATACATATATGTGTAATTTTAGATCATCAATCACAATCACTATTTTTCAAAAAAAAGGGCCTTTTATTTTCTCAACAAAGGCTATCCCCTTAAGAAGTGAGGCAAGACATAGACAAATACAGGCAGTTGTATTGATTGACCTTTGCAACAGAAGAATGGAAAGTTGAGTAGGCAACAAGATTGATTTGTTTTAGAGAATAGTGTACCCAAACATGACATGATAAGTGTTTTTTCATATTTTGATTATTTAAAATCTTTGGGCTTACTGACCGACTCATTTGATGTCTTGGTTAGTTTTGTTGAACTAGTTTTTTTTTTTTAATCTCCCTTATTCTCTTCAAAGTTACAGGGGGTGGCTCTCTGAATAAGGGAGAAGCAGGGATATATTTAGCAATGAAGATGATGTGAAGACAAAAGATACCAAACTAGGTTTTTTTTTTTTAATCGTAGGGCTGTGGGTCAAAGGGAAAGATGAGGCAATTTGGTCCTGGTCATTCCTTTAAGTCCAGCCATTCTCTTGCTGTTTAAGTTTATGCTCGTGTCGGAGCTTTCTGATTAGGCTGATGACATTGGTCCAGAGGCCAAATGAATGGGCAGAGAAGTCGGACTCAGTATTCCCTGAGCCAGGCAAAGCTCATCACAATGTTGCCTAGCAACCCCTGCTCTAGATCCCCAAGGATCAAGAACAGCTCAGAACCTGAGCGTTGCTCTACACATTTTCTTGGATTAAGACAGTACTACCATTGAGGGTAAAATGCTATGGGTCTGCCAGGGTTCTTCTGGATCCCCTGTAACCCTCTTCTTCAAAGGTAGTGTTTCTGGTAGCTTATGTTGACAGTGAGTGTGTCCCAAGGGAATTCAGCAGTGGAGCAGAGATACTTTTTGAGGAGCTGTGATCTTCATCTTTCAGGAGCATCCTAGGTCCACCTTTCCTGCATTACCACCCCCCCCACTCCAACCTCCAACCTCTAACCCAGAACCCACACCAACTTGCATTTTGTCTCCCTCTTCCTTCAGGTTTCTTCTGATGATGGGTGTTCTCTTCTGCTGTGGAGCTGGCTTCTTCATTCGCAGGAGGATGTACCCTCCACCACTAGTCGAAGAACCAACATTTAATGTATCCTACACCAGGCAGCCCACTAACCCAACAGCAGGTCAGCCAAAAACTGTTGCTGTCATGTTCCCTTTTACCTTTGAGTGTGTACATTTCATTCACCTTGTATGGCATCAGTAGGGCTTGTAGGAGGATGATGTTGCAGAATACACACACATATACACACATGCAATCACACACAATGAATATAAATTCAAGCTTCATCTTTTAAAATTTCCTAGCAGGTACTGGTTGGAAAGTTATTTCATGGCGTGATTTTTCTCATATAAAGGGGAATATGACTATGGCCCCCAATGAATGCCCAGCTCTTTCCCAGAAATAAAGGAAGAGGGCATAAGAATTCATATAGGAAAAACTTGCTTTTGTGAGTTCACACAAACTTGATTTAATATTTTTTGGATCCATGTGAAAGCTGGTTTACTCTTCCCTCTGACCCTTGCAATCAGTCAGTCAACTAATACCTACTATGTGCTAGGCACTGTGCTAAGTGTTAGGGATTAAAAAAAAAGGCAAAAGATAGTCCCTGCTTTCAAGGAAATGGCAAACCATTCTAGTGTCTTTGCCAAGAAAACCCTAAATGGAGTCACAAAGAGTCAGATATGACTGAAAATGACTAAGCCACAAAGTTTCAAGGAGTTCACAGTCATATTGGGGAGACAGCATGCAAACAGCTGTATACATACAAGTTATAGTCAGGATAAGCGGGAGATAATAGACAGAGGAAAGGCATTAAGGGGGATCAGGAAAGACTTCTCATAGAAGGTAGGATTTTAGCTGATACTTGAAAAAGGAAGCCAGGGAATCCAGGAGGTAGAGATGAGAAGGGTCAAGCATAAGAAACAGCTATTGAAAATGCCCAGAGTCAGGAGATGGAGTGTTATGCAAGAACAGCAATGAAACCAGTGTCACTGGAGAGGAAAAAAGGTGATGGCCTCTACTCAACAGCAAATATGAATTTACATGGGATGCAAAGAATATCTTTACTGGAATTTAATTCATTCACTATCTCTGTTTGCAGAACTTTCTGGCACTACGTCCAAGACATATGATTCTCCCATGGAACTATGGTTACTATCATGATGAATACTCTTAGGTAGATCAAATCCTACAGGTCAAAAGGAAATGTTGGGAAACAATCTGGATAATGCAGGAAGCATAGATTTATTTGTCCATTCATTCATTCACATTTAGTTATTAAATACCTCATACTTAACTTCTTGAGGTCAAAAGGAAATGTTGGGAAACAATGTGGATATTGCAGCAAGCATAGATTTATTTGTCCATTCATTCATTCATTTACATTTAGTTACCAAATATCTTATACCTAACTTCTCAGTGCTCCAAGAAACTCTGTTAAAACTAAGTTACAATTGCTGATCTACATTGGTGGGGAGAATCCCCACAAAGAGAGTTCTTGACACCGACTTATAAATACTACATAAATCTGTACAAAAGTTTTCCCCAAGAGGAAAACAAAATGTGTGATCTAGTCCATATGAATGTCCATTACACACTGGAGAACCTGGATAAGATGTTCATGTCATCATTCAACCAATTTCGCCTCTTCAGAACTCTGGGATAATCTTTGGCTCTTCTCACCTTCACTTCTCATCTTAAGTGGTCAATAATTCCTGTCAATTTCACCTCTGTAATGCCTACTGCATACTTTCCCTTCTATCTGTCCCCCCACTCCTCACATCACTTGCCATTATCCAAGGCCCTCACTGCCACCCACCTCAACTATTGTAGTAGCCATAATAGCCACTCCTGCCTCAACTGTCTTCACTCTCTAGTCCATTCTTTATAATCCAGTGGAATGTAAACCTCCTGGGGGCAGGGTCTATTTAATTTTTTTCTTTCATCTTGCTAAGAAGGGCAGATTTATGACCAGCAGGTGCTATCCTAGTCTAAGCCACCTGAGATAGGGAACATACCCTAAAGCAGAAGTAGTTATAACTAGACAGCAGTTTAATATACACCCATCTTATATAACCACATTTCTTGGTAACCTAGCCCCTGTTCTCATCGATCTCTTCAGGTGGCTAGGCCATTCCACTGACGAAGGCTGGTTTTGCCAAGAAATATTTCCTGCTTATGTCCTGGATGAGGTTAGACACTTGGTTAAAATGGAGTTCAGGACCTTGCCATTAAGTCTTCTCCTGACATTTTAAGCTCCTCCTCTCCTCACAGCCTGGTTCTAAACTAACTTTTCAGTCTTATGTACTATTCTAATTTTCCAGCCAAACTGAATTATATTCAATTTCCTTAGAATTTGTTCTGTAGTTTCCCACCTCCTACCTTCTACCAACTAACTGTGTGACCCTAGGAAAGACAATTAACCTCTGACTGCCTCAGTTTTCTCAACTGTAAAATGAGAATAATAATAGCACTCACCTCACGGGGCTGTCTTTGAGGTTCAAATGGGATAATATTTGTAAAACACTTAGCACAGTGCCTAGCACACAGTAGGTGCTATATAAATCCTTATTCCTTTCTCCCTTTGTTCAGTCATCCTCTGTATCTAGAACATTCTCCTCCCAACCTCAGCTCTTCTTGTTGCCATCCTGTGGACACATCAAGGACCAGCTCTGTCATTACCTCCTCTCTGAAGCCTTTCCTGATGATCCCAGATAGAAACATACCTCACTTAGCGGATCTCACAGCTCATTATATTCCTGAATCTGCATCTCCCCCTACTGGTCTAATAACGCCTGGAGGGCAATGATCGTGGAGTAATTATCTTTGTTTAGCTGCTGGACAGCTAGAGGTTTCCAAATTCATTTGGCCTACCACCCCCCCTTTAAAAAAATTACTCAGTGCCCCCTGGAAATCTACTTTCTTTAACCCTTTAACAGTTTTTTTTTAAGTAGGTCGTTTCAAACTCCTACCACCCCTCTAGATCATTCCAGCCCCCTAGGGGCAGTATCACCCACTTTGGGAATGTAAGGCTAGCACCATGCATTGCGCATAATAAGAAATTAGTAACTGTGGTGAATGAAGAATGAATTCACCAGACCTCATCTGGAAAATTGTCATAATTTTTAAAATGTTCCTTGTAGGCAGAGCTAAAAAAACAGATAGAGTCATAAAAATCCAAAATTGGAAGAGTCCCCCACCATAACATGCCTTACAACTTTCACTGAGTTGAATTGAATTAGAGAATGCAAACTGAATTGGAATCCCTCTGGTTCCATATGCTTAAGGTTGCATTTTCACATTATTTTCTGTCCTGGTGAGTGACACCATGGCTTAATAGAGAGCTGGTCTCTAAGCCAGGAAGACCTGAATTTTAACTCCCCTCTCTGACACATACCACAAATCACTTACCCCCTCAGTGCCCTGGGTAACTCTCTAATAACACAAAGTTACAGAGAAGATGCCAATCTCCATTGCTCAAGAGAGTGTCCTTGTCTGGGAGCTCCCTATATTCATGAAATCATAGGTCCAGTTCCTATCCTGATGGGAGGATGTTCACTCTGAAGTCATAGTTAGGAAGACAGTGCTGATGATAGATACAGACAAGGGGAGCATCTATTCTCCAGACCTCCTTTCGACTCTCCTAATACTACTGCACCTTGACTCTCTTTGCTATATGAATTCTTATGCCTTCTTCCTTTATTCCTGGGCAAGAGCTGGGCATTCATTGGGGTCCACAGCCATTTTCCCCATTATATGAGAAGAGACATCTTGGTACGGTGAAATGAGTGCTGAATATGGAATCAGAGGACCTTTGATGGTTGGTTGTACTACTTAATACCTGTGTGAACTCAGGCAAATTGCCCCAACTTTTGGAGCTTTGGTTTCCTCATCTGTAAAATAGAAAGTTGAACTAATTGGTTCCTTCAATCTCTATTTCTGTCATCCTGTGATTTTAAAGTAGTAATTATACTTGGGACTCTATCAAACACCAATGCCAAAGAATTGAAATGCTGAGTCTCCTGGCACCATAACGTTTCAATATTTATCAGAGTGTGTCAGGAAATTACCTGCATCATCTGGGTTGACTATGATGAATAAATTGTACAAATTAGAGCTGTGCCCCAAGGTCTGGTGAAGTGCATAAAAAGTTGAGTCAGGGAAATGGGGAGGTCATCCCTCAAAAGATAATTTTTAGAGTGTCCTGGCCAAGTGATAGTGCTCCAAATGGATATCAGTCTGATTATCATGTTTGAAATGGAGCTGTGCAAATATGGAACCTAAATGTCCAGGGGCTCCCAATTGCCTTTAGGATCAAATACAGAATGCTATTTGGCATTCAGAGTCCTTCATAACCTAGCTTGCTCTTACCTTTCTAGTCTTTTTACACCTTACTCCCCAACACGTACTCTTTGATCCAGTGACACTGGCTTCTTGACTGTTCCATGAACAAGACAGGCCATCTCTCATCTCTGGGCGTCCTCTCTGTCTTTGTGTCCTTATGGCCTACTGCAGTGTGTGGCACATAATAATCATTTAAATAAATTCATGCTGATTTGGTTTATTGATTGGTTACTTTCTGAGGATGGATTTGGAAGCCCTAGGTTCAAATCCAGGCTTTTAAAAAAAATTATCTATATAACCTTAGGCAAGTCATTTACTTCTTCTGGCTTTGGTTTCCCTACCTGCAAAATATAAAAGTTGGGACTAGATATTTAAGTATCCTTCCAGCGAGGAATACTTTGATCACTTATGAAGTATTTACTTAGTACCCATGTGAGCACGGCACTGTCCTAGGTACTGAATGGCACAGAAAGAGAAGTAAGACATATTTCTTTGACTAGAATGTTAAGACCTTGAGGACAGAGTCTTAAGGCAGACACATTAATATTCAATACAAGATACTTCACAGTGCTCTTTGGTGCAGAAAGGGTCCATAGGAAGAAGAGAGTTTATCCTGTTTGATGAAAATGAGAGTAGGCCTTCTGATGGAGGTAATATTTGGAATGAGTCTTCAAGTCTAAGAAAGATTTTAGTGAGGAGAGATGAGGATGACAGAAGATGAGCATTCTGAGTACATTCTGATAGGATCAGGTACTCAGCTACCGCTCCCCCAGAGGCACA